TTTTTTTTTTTTTTTTTTATGATTTTGAGTTTTGTTCCAAATTGTTCGCCCACTCTATACAGGATAAATCCCCTTATGAGTGGTTAAAAGTGATGGCCAGGCACCATCTAGTTCTTTTAGTCTCATAATCATATAGGCTGAGGGTCACATGGTATACCAGTCCCTTGGACTAATTATTTCCATGCATCTTTGATTATCTTCTTGACTCTGGATAAGGAGCAACCCATTGTTGCATCTAGATAGCTATCGCAAGCTTTTAAGATCTCAGTCACTATTCACCAAAGTAGGATGTGGAACAAGGTCTTTGTGCAGTGTTATGACAATTGAGCTTAATGTCCCCTGTGGCCATGATCCCGAGCCCACTACTCAGTCCAACTATATGCTCCTTCCAGGTATATGCTCCTGCCAACTATATGCTCCTTCTGACTGTGGGCAAGAAGTGGCTACAACCTTGTCCCTTGTCAGCTCTACTATATACCTGGGAATTCTTACTGAACATACAAATACATTTGTAGAAACATTGTCTAGCAACCCTATACATGGTTATGGTCAAACTCTTCCCTGCATACCAAAAAACAAACCAAACTCACTGCCATGGAGTTGGGTCCAACTCATAATGACCCCTCCTTTGGTTTCCAAGACAATATCACTACAGAAGTAGATTGTCCAATCTTTCTCCTGAGGAGTGGCTGGTGGGTTTGAACAGTCAGCCCTCTGATTAGCAGTCAAATGCCTTAGGCACTACACCACCAGAGCGCCCTCTTCCTTGTATAGATATGCCTAATAGTTCAGCCTCTCCACCCATTTATCCACCCATAGATCAATGTATGACATTACTGAAAATGCAGTACTCTAGGTGCAAAAGGATTCATCTTTCTTGTCTGTACCTCCTATGCACCTCTCTATGTCATCCTCTTCCTCAATGCTACCATGTTGATCACTCACAATTGGTATATTGCCCTTCCCTTCACTGAAATCTAGCATCATAGCCTACCAATCTAGCATCATTCTTGCCCTTCTCCTCCCATCCTGGTAACCAGTAAAGAACATGTCTTTCCATATATGAACCTTGCCTTGAATTTTTGCAATAATGGACTAATAAAATATTTTTCCTTCTGTGATTGACTTATTTCACTCAGCATAATATCCTCCATGTTCATCCATGTTATGTGGTGTTCTCCAGATTCTGCATTATCCTTTAGGGTTGTATATATATGTATATATAGGTTGTGTATATGTACTATAGTTTGGTTATCTATTCTTTCCATGGGTACCTAGATTGTTTCCATCTTTTTGCTATTGTAAATAATGCTGTGATAAACATGGATGTGTATATATCTCTTCTTGTCTTCACTCTCACTTCTTTAGCATATACACCTAGTAGTAGAATTCCTGGGTGGAGTGATATTTTTAATTCCAACTTTTTAAGGAATCGCCATACTGTTTTCCATAGTGGTTGTATCATTTTACAGTCCTACCAGCAGTGCATAAAAATCTCAATCTTTCCACATCCTCACCAGCATTTGTTATTTTCTCTCTTGTTGAACTTTGCTACTAGTGCTGCAGCAAGATGGTATCGCATTGCTATTTTGATTTTCATCTCTCTAATGGCTAATGATCATGAGCTTTTCTTCACATGTTTGTTGGCTGCCTGAATATCCTCTTTTTTGAAGTGTCCATTCATGTCTTTTGCCCATTTTTAATTGGATTATTTGTCTTTTTGTTGGTGAGGAGTTGGAGGTTTCTATAAATTTTAGAGATAAGTCCCTTGTCAGACATGTTGTTACCAAATGTGTTTTCCCAATCTGTAGGTTCTCTTTTGACTCTTTTGGAGAAGTCTTTGGAAGCACATACAAATTTAATTTTTAGAAGATCCCATTCATATAGTTTTTCTTCTGCCGTTTGTGCATTCTGGTTTATGCTTGATAGTCTATGTATGCCATATATTGTTGTTGTTGTTATGTGCCGTCGAGTCGGACCCTACTCATAGCGACCCCTCCTTGGGTTTCCAAGGTAGTATCACTACAGAAGTAGATTGCCCCATCTTCCTTCCGAGGAGTGGCTGGTGGGTTTGAAC